TGGAACAGCTGAGAAGCCAATTGTCCCATTACTTTTGGTCCCTTACCAAGTGGGAGGCACATATGCAAACTGTTGTAATTCTACACCGTTCACCTGAGTTGGATGTACATACCCTCAAATTAAAGCTGACAGTCTGCAGTTAACGCACATTGTGTTTGTTTCATTCCAAATCCATTGTGGTGGTATATAGAGCCAAAGATGTTAGAATTGTGTCGATGTCCCAATATTTCTGGACCTGACTGTATGTCAAGAGAAACAGGAAGGTTGAATGCAGTGGGCACAGGGTACTTAAATGGAGAAAAACAATTGATAGAATGTGAATTGGATAAGAACAGTGAGTGATCAATACAAAAATAAGTACTCTGAGATGGTTGGTCACACAGAGAGAATGAATTAAAGTCAAATTGTAGAAAAACACATGAAAAGTGAATAGGTTGAAGGAAAGGAGAAGAATGAGGAAGCCATGATTGGATGGAACTGATGAGATCCTCAGTAAGACAGGAACAAGAAGTTTAAGCAATAAAGGCAATGTGTAAGCAGTGGATGGACATGGGAGAAACAAGGATGGTTTTTAAGGATCCAGAGATAAGGAAAGCTACAGTGAACAGAACTGGTATAATATTTCCTTTTCTTTTTTTCATATCATGCATTTAATTTCTTTATCTATTTACTACTCCTTTTCTGCACTCCATATAACGCTGCTTAGCCTGAAAGGGAATAGCACAATGGGGTATATATATGTATCCTGATACTGATTTCATTGCTTCTTATGTAGCCAAAATACAAAATTCATCCAAAAGAGAAGTACTAGTATCATCAAGCTTGGGGAAAAAACAGTTTTGCAGATGCATAAGATGTTTTGAGGAAGAAAGGTTGTTCCTAACAAGAGAGAAAGGGCAACAATGATTAAATGTGCTAAATGAGTACAGAATTCGAATTATTTATTGGGTAAGAAATGGAAAGTTCTATGCAACAAAATGGAAAAGGTAGAGTTCTGAATGGTACATCAATTGCAACCTTTAAAAAATTAATGGAATACTCTGTTCTCTCCCTGAAGTATCTACTTGATTGCATACAGATATATAAACATTTATGTTTATACACACACACACACACGTTTATATATATAAACATTCAGATGAGCCCTACATGTTACACTGTTACGCATATGGATAGGGACCCATCAATACCTCTACATATATGCAAAATTTCTAGCCAGGAACTGTGCATACCAGTCCCATATTCCACCAAATGACTACCCAAGCAAAATGGCAGTAATCTTTATTCTTCTTAAGACATTTTATGACAGACTACAGCTTCCTCTAGAATTCAGATGGATTATGCACTTGTGGCTATGCATAGAAATCATGTATAAACTGACCCTGAAAATACTGAGCACTGTCTAGATTTATTTATTCCTCAACTTGCTCTATCAGACTCCCATAATTCTTAACTAGACTGCAGAATGTTTGACAAAAACAAGGAGAAAGTGTCAGAGATATTATTTTTATTCTGAACTGTTTACCGATTTCAGAATTATAACATTCTTAAATATTGTAGAATCATATTCCAACTGTTCAGCTCAACAAGAAAATGCACACTAGCATAAGGCCATACTAGTTATCCTTTGTCTTATGAAAGAAGGAAAAAGGAGCAGTCATTTTCTCCACTTTGCATATATTTATTTACCCACAAATAAATATTTTGAATGGATAGGTAAGAATTGTTCCCAGAAAAAAAAATGAAATAGAAAATTAAACCAGAACCTTTTACAAGAGCTTCATAAATCAATATTGGCTTTCACTAACAGTATTAAGATCACAAGATTTCAAAAAGGATTATTTTTTAAGTCTTAGATCTGGTTTTCCTTCAGATCTGAAAACCTGGGAAAACCAGTGGAAAATGTCTTTGAATTTCTTGCAAACATGAATGAAATCCAAAATGAAAAAAACATAAATTCTTTTGCCCTTCTACTTCCAATCCATCCAAATAAACAAAGTAAGTGATCTTTTCTAATCAAATATAAAATAACCATGGTTTTATGCAGCAGAATTGCTTTATATTCAAAGACTGTTGAATTCAGGAAGATCACGACGTAACCGTATTGCCTTTAATTTTTCCACTTTAATTTTTGCTCTCAAAAGCTCTTCTTCCAGCTGTTGCCTCCTTTTCAACCCATCCCTTTTTTCTTGGATATAGAGCCCAATTTTCCTCTGATTTTCCAAAATTATGTGATGTTCTTCTTTTAGCATTTGCAACATTTGTGGATCATACCCTCCACATGCTGGCCTAAATCGTTCTCCACTTTCGAGCCTGAAAAACTCATCTCGTCTGGGGATAGGCGATGGAGATAGCATTCTTATATCCACAGAAGACAGGGAAGTTGATGGAGATCTCTCCATGACATGGACCATATGTTGCTGTTCTCTTTGTTCCAAGTTCTCCTGTGTTTGCAATTCAACTATCAGTGAAGGTGGTGGCTTGACGTCCTCTTCTTCTTGATCCAGCTCCAGTGTGATAGCAGCAGGATGGGGCTCCAACACTAGCTGTGGAGAGCTTGTAGTAGCAACGGTTTCTTTTACCAGGGTAGCACTAAAACAGAGAAATATTTTAGGCATTAGGGAACAGAGTCTTTTTTATCCACAAAAGACAGTGGACACAAAGCAGCACAGAATTGACATTACTGAGCCCATAAAAGCTAAACAGTGCAGACCTGGTTAGTAATTGGATAAAAGGCTACCAGGAAAGCCTAGGGCTGTAGGCTACACGGGGCAATTGAAAAAGTTTTCCATAAGAAGGCAATGGCAAGTACCGTAACTTTTACTGTGGCTAAGAAAACTACGTAAATGTGTCCATATAATCACCAAGAATCGAGCTCAAATCATGGGAGATGAACATTTTTAATCAACTACTGAGCTACTTGTGTTCTGATAAAAAGAGACTCATAATTGTCTATGTGTATACCTGCCGCCAACAGAGGCAAATATGTGTAGCTCAGGGTTGAACTGTGGAGTCCTTGGGGTTCTCTGAGCTTGGTGAAACATTTGCAAAAAAAGAACCAAGCTCAGAGAACCCCAAGGACTCCACAACATCTGCCACCATCAGAGACAAGAGAAAAAGAGAGGACAATATTATTATTATGAGCCATTAAACCTTGAATGCTTCTTGTCTGTATAATTCTCTTTGTTCAAGATGACTTTCTTCCCTGAAGCTGTTTTTCCTGAAAGCACGGACAAGAAGCCTGTGGCTCTTGAGAAGCTGCAGAATTACAACCCCCAGCAGCCACAGGTAGCATAGCCAATAGCGAAAGATACAGCAAGTTGTAGTCCAGCAAGTTCTGGAAGGCCACAGGTTCTTTCCCCATGTCTTAAATTATTTATTTCCATATCTGCACTGCACATATCCTCCAAAATTGCTTACTAGTCAGAAGGATCATGGACAGCATTAACCAGAAAAAGCCCACATAGAGAGAGCCAGGTTGGTCTACTGGTTAGAAACCAGGAGACTGTGAGTTCTAGTCCTGCCTTAGACATGAAAGCTGGCTGGGTGACTTTGGGCCAGTCACTCTCTCTCAGCCCACAACATCAGGCTAGGGCGACAAGCTAGTCAGTTAATTCCTGTTGCAGCCAGTGGATCAACTTTCAGTCGATCTGAAAAAAGCAGACCCTGCAGCTGCGGAAAATGCTAGGAAGAAAAAAAAAGTCCACATAGGTTGCTATTATTTGAATTCATTCCAACTCTTCCCTTCTCTCAAGGCTGTGACTCCTGCAGAGGACTTCAAGGAATGTCAGGGTCAGCTGCTCACCTGGAATTGGACTGAGAAGAGCACTTAGAAAGCTGAGCAGCTTTCAAGTGTCTTCCAATCTAGCAGTAAGTCAGTAAATGATCCTGCCATTTTCAGAAGACAGTGAAAGGAAAGGAGACAGGGAAATCATCCTCTTGCCATATAGTACACTTTTTCTCAAGCTTGGGAACTTTAAGATGTGTGGACTTCAACTCTGATATAGTGGCTTAAGAAACATTGAAGGTAGAAGCAGTGAAACACTGAATACACTGGAATGAGTGGCATTATATTTCCAGCCCCTTTCCTTCCCATGTTTTGGGGAATTACTCTTTGTTAAAGATAAAACAAAAGTATTAAGCTTTCCAGGGACTTAACACATCTATTAAGCAATAGATAGGTTAAAATGCCTCTAAAAAACTCTCTTGGCCGCTGGTGCAATTTGGGAAGAGGCATACATGGGGCTAGGTATCTGTGTAACCCTTAAGCCATAGCACGTTGACCCCTGGTAAAAACAACTGTACCAATATTTTGAAATAAAAACAAATTTGGAATAACATAACTTAATCTAGGTCTACTTATTATTTGTTAACTCCAAAGGATCTCCTGGATCTTCCTGTTCCCACTACAAAGTTCACATTATATACAAAGATATAATTAGAACCTCATTGTGATACAAGTTGGATGAAAGGGCAATAAGGATTTCCTGGACAAGGAAAAGTTCTAAAAGGACAGATATTTTCATCCCCTATCATTGCTGCTCCATTCAAACTCCTCCCTTGAAGGAAATGGTTATTTTTTTCAAATAAATTGAATAATTAATTATTCAAAAATCCTCCATTATTACTGCATGTTAGGCCATAGTTTTTCCTTCAGCTAGATCTTGCAACACCATCCAACGTGCTCAGTTCCTCTACAGAAAGGTACTCTAAACTTTCTAACACTAAAGAAAGGAACATTTGTTGACATCATTTTCTTAGAAGCAAGCTACAATAATTTCAACAGAACTTGCTAAGTTTAAGTTTGTTTTTTAGCATAAACTGCCCAGTCACCCCACAGTGAGATGGACGGTGACAAATCTGAAATATAAATAAATATTTTAATTAATATTTATCTATTTTAATTAATGTTTATCTGTTTTTACTGTAAACCGCCCAGAGTCACTCCCCAGTGAGATGGGCGATGAAATATAAATAAATAAAGTGCACGTCAGGACATTCAAAATGCAAAGATCCAAGCAGGGGTTTCAGGTCACAGCAAATCAGCAGCTGAAAGCAATGGAGCATTACTCATATGACCTTGCGTAGCGGGCAACTCACAGAGAAAAAACTGGAGTCACACCTAATTAGTTATGAAAGCAGCTGGCATCAAATTGAACCACTAAGATTCATCATGTAACATTGCCAAGCAAAGTAAAATAGCTTGGATAGACAAGACCACTGTGCAACTTCCACCCAATTTTCAACTGGGAAAAGGATAAGTCCCTTTTTCACTTTAATGGCTAGTTCATCTCCTGATTCATTAATTCTAGCAGCTGTCTTTCTCATAAATAAATATGATATCTGGCAATGCACAAATTATGGCTGCAAGGAAAATGAGAGCAATGTAAGAGTAACAGCCATGGAAAGAGATGGAAAGATGAAGAGACAAAACCAAGCTGGTTGGGAAGGCAAACTCTTTGTGGCCAACTAGATCTTTGGTTCTCTTTTAAACAAAAAGCTTTTACATTTTCCCCTTATTTTAAAGATCTACATGGAGGGACAATGGAATAATTTATATTAATGAAATTTATCCCCACAAAACATGTTTAGAACCGTGACATTCAATTTCCAGTGGTTAATATTCCAGATAAATTATTCTATAACACTGACCCACAGCGATAATCATTATATTTCAAGAGAAAGTTTAAGCAATGTATCACTGTGGGTTTTAAAAAAATAAATATTTGGGTGCTACACAGCATCTAAGCCAGATTACTTAACAATAATGGTACTCTAGCCATTATTACTCAACCTCAAATCTGTTACCAAGATAATACCTGCTTCACTGGTTCAATAGTTTAAGTAACGTCTTTCAACCAAAGTGGGTGATTTTGGCCCAATTTTGAACATTTCAGCCTGAATAACCACTGTGAAAACCCTGTATCTCAAGGATACTGCGGCAGTTTTTAGACTACAGTCCCAACTGAACTTATACACTTTTAACTATATGTGTTAGACTGCAAAACACC